CACGTCCCATCATTCCACAACCCCACGTCCCATCATTCCACAACCCCACGTCCCATCATTCCACAACCCCACGTCCCATCATTCCACAACCCCACGTCCCATCATTCCACAACCCCACGTCCCATCATTCCACAACCCCACGGCCCATCATTCCACAACCCCACGTCCCATCATTCCACAACCCCACGTCCCATCATTCCACAACCCCACGTCCCATCATTCCACAACCCCACGTCCCATCATTCCACAACCCCACGTCCCATCATTCCACAACCCCACGTCACATCATTCCACAACCCCACGTCCCATCATTCCACAACCCCACGTCCCATCATTCCACAACCCCACGTCCCATCATTCCACAACCCCACGTCCCATCATTCCACAACCCCACGTCCCATCATTCCACAACCCCACGTCCCATCATTCCACAACCCCACGGCCCATCATTCCACAACCCCACGTCCCATCATTCCACAACCCCACGTCCCATCATTCCACAACCCCACGTCCCATCATTCCACAACCCCACGTCCCATCATTCCCACAACCCCACGGCCCATCATTCCACAACCCCACGTCCCATCATTCCACAACCCCACGTCCCATCATTCCACAACCCCACGTCCCATCATTTCACAACCCCACGTCCCATCATTCCACAACCGCACGTCCCATCATTCCACAACCCCACGTCCCATCATTCCACAACCCCACGTCCCATCATTCCACAACCCCACGTCCCATCATTCCACAACCCCACGTCCCATCATTCCACAACCCCACGTCCCATCATTCCACAACCCCACGTCCCATCATTCCACAACCCCACGTCCCATCATTCCACAACCCCACGTCCCATCATTCTGCAACACGTCTCACTCCATAACCCCACGTCCCATCATTCCACAACACGTCCCAGCACTCCACAACCCCACAAGTCCGATGCCCTAACAATCAACACAATAACGGACGGACTAAACAAGTGTACAAAAGTCCAAATCAAACATAAAAGTGGTCATCAAGTGGGCAACATTTTGCTGGCATGATGACAGGTGACAACCTGTTGTCCTGCTGCACCATTATGTCCTGTTGTCCTGCTGCACCATTATGTACTGTTGTCCAGCTGCACCATTATGTCCTGTTGTCCAGCTGCACCATTATGTCCTGTTGTCCTGCTGCACCATTATGTCCTGTTGTCCAGCTGCACCATTATGTCCTGTTGTCCAGCTGCACCATTATGTCCTGTTGTCCAGCTGCACCATTATGTCCTGTTGTCCAGCTGCACCATTATGTCCTGTTGTCCTCCTGCACCATTATGTCCTGTTGTCCAGCTGCACCATTATGTCCTGTTGTCCTCCTGCACCATTATGTCCTGTTGTCCTCCTGCACCGTTATGTCCTGTTGTCCTCCTGCACCGTTATGTCCTGTTGTCCTCCTGCACCATTATGTCCTGTTGTCCTCCTGCACCATTATGTCCTGTTGTCCTCCTGCACCATTATGTCCTGTTGTCCTCCTGCACCGTTATGTCCTGTTGTCCTCCTGCACCATTATGTCCTGTTGTCCTCCTGCACCATTATGTCCTGTTGTCCTCCTGCACCATTATGTCCTGTTGTCCTCCTGCACCATTATGTCCTGTTGTCCTCCTGCACCATTATGTCCTGTTGTCCTGCACCATTATGTCCTGTTGTCCTCCTGCACCATTATGTCCTGTTGTCCAGCTGCACCATTATGTCCTGTTGTCCTCCTGCACCATTATGTCCTGTTGTCCTCCTGCACCATTATGTCCTGTTGTCCTCCTGCACCATTATGTCCTGTTGTCCTCCTGCACCATTATGTCCTGTTGTCCTCCTGCACCATTATGTCCTGTTGTCCTCCTGCACCATTATGTACTGTTGTCCAGCTGCATTATGTCCTGTTGTCCTCCTGCACCATTATGTCCTGTTGTCCTCCTGCACCATTATGTCCTGTTGTCCAGCTGCACCATTATGTCCTGTTGTCCTCCTGCACCATTATGTCCTGTTGTCCAGCTGCACCATTATGTCCTGTTGTCCTGCTGCACCATTATGTCCTGTTGTCCAGCTGCACCATTATGTCCTGTTGTCCTGCTGCACCATTATGTCCTGTTGTCCTCCTGCACCATTATGTCCTGTTGTCCTCCTGCACCATTGTGTCCTGTTGTCCTCCTGCACCATTATGTCCTGTTGTCCTCCTGCACCATTATGTCCTGTTGTCCTCCTGCACCATTATGTCCTGTTGTCCTCCTGCACCATTATGTCCTGTTGTCCTCCTGCACCATTATGTCCTGTTGTCCAGCTGCACCATTATGTCCTGTTGTCCTCCTGCACCATTATGTCCTGTTGTCCTCCTGCACCATTATGTCCTGTTGTCCTCCTGCACCATTATGTCCTGTTGTCCTCCTGCACCATTATGTCCTGTTGTCCTCCTGCACCATTATGTCCTGTTGTCCAGCTGCACCATTATGTCCTGTTGTCCAGCTGCACCATTATGTACTGTTGTCCAGCTGCACCATTATGTACTGTTACTAAGTTCTAACTAGTTATAGAACTAACTAAGTTCTGGACAACTTAGTTGTTGTTGACAACACCACCACCACCAACCAACGAACACAACACCACCACAAACACAAACACAACACCACCACAAACACAAACACAACACCACCACTAACCACCACCACCAACCAACACAACACCACCACCAACCAACACAACACCACCACCAACCAACCACCACCACCAACCAACCACACACCAACCAACACAACACCACCAACACAACACCACCAACACAACACCACCAACACAACACCACCACCTTGATGTCAGAGGCGACACCAAGAAACAGAGAGAACAAAGCTTTCTTCTGACTTGTACTCAATAGTTTCCTCTACCATCAAACTACAGTGCGTTGTAGTTTGGTGGTGTGGTTGTGGTGGGGAAGGTGTTGGTGCAGGCGTGTGTGGTGAAGGTGTGGTGGTGGTGGTGGTGGTGGTGGTTATGGTGATGAAGGTTGTGGTGATGAAGGTGTGGTGGTGGTGGTGCAGGCCGGCGCTGCCCCCTGGTGGTGCAGGTTCAGTCTCACTAAAGCCACCTGCCAAATACTCGACCAGGAATCAATGACTCCCTACAGGCCTTTCCGCTGTATACCTGGCTTACTGTGCCTGACTCACTGTACCTGGCTTACTGTACCTGACTCACTGTACCTGCCATTCTGTGCCTGACTCACTGTACCTGGCTTACTGTACCTGACTCACTGTACCTGCCATTCTGTGCCTGACTCACTGTACCTGGCTTACTGTACCTGACTCACTGTACCTGCCATTCTGTGCCTGACTCACTGTACCTGGCTTTCTGTGCCTGACTCACTGTACCTGCCATTCTGTGCCTGACTCACTGTACCTGGCTTACTGTACCTGCCATTCTGTGCCTGACTCACTGTACCTGCCATTCTGTGCCTGACTCACTGTACCTGCCATTCTGTGCCTGACTCACTGTACCTGCCATTCTGTAACTGTCTACACCGGTTCCACCTGTCTGATGTATCGCGCTTGGCCAGCATTGCGCTCATTTTCCCTACTGTGCCATATTGATGTGTCAGTTGTAAGACTGTGACACAATGCTGTTAGTTTCCTCAGGAAAAGTTACCGTTTCTGCAGGAAAAAGTTACTGTTTCCTCAGGACAAACTGTGATGGGTATCTGAGGCGGCAACTGTACCACTCAGTCATACTCGTAGTCAAGATAACCGACATACAGCTCATAAATGATCATATTAGGAGTGGTAATTGGGGAATTGTTTTTTCCTGCTCAAAATACGTAATTTTTTTTGGAGAAAAGTGCGCCAGAAGGGAAGGGAACTATCAGGGGAAAAGCGCCAAGCCATTACGACTATATAGCACTGGGAAGGAGTCAGGATAAGGATTTAGGATGGGACGGGGGGATGGAATGGTGCTCAAACACTTGGACGATCGGGGATTGGACGCCGACCTGCATGACGCTCTACCGTCCTCTCTGACCGTCCGCTCTACCGTCCAGCCCAAGTGGTTGGTAAAGTGCACCAGCCCACTAGTTTGTTTGCAACTTCCGACTCTTAAATTAGATGTATGAGATGTTTAAATGAGATTAAATGAGATGATATTAAGTGGTTACCAGAGAGAGTGCAGGACAAGCCCAAGCAGCTAGGGAGAAGCACAGTTAATGTGCTCTACCCATTGTCAGACACGCAGACACCCCAGCAGACAAGAGATGTGACTGCGTGTCTGTAGTCTTCAAATATCACAATGTGCCGACGTGCACCCATTTAGCTGCTCTACCACTCCCACGCTCAAGAACACACTGCCGCCGAACAAGAGGAGACAGTTGTCACGACACAACTGCTCCTTGTGCACAATCTCACCATTTACGAGACACTCTTAGCACCCGAAACACGCTAAAATATACAACCAATTTTGCCAAGAGCAAAACATACTCTCTCTTCGGCGATTAAAAAAAAAAAAACTTGCACAAAAAAGAATTAGTATTGAATACAATGTTAGAGTTCCCAGGTTGGTACAGGTCTGGGCACATGTTAAGAGCAGTCATGCTTGTAAACTACACAGTAAATACTCCCACACATGTGAAAGGAGAGTCACTTTGGGTGGGGTGAAAGAGGGCTTCCACTCTCCTTACTCTACTATTCTCTTCAAAGGAAAATTTAACGAGTGCAGTAAAAAAGTAGTTACCCAAAACTATTATAATTATTATTATTATTATTATTATTATTATTATAATTGCTGGTGTTGTTGTTCTTGTTGTTATACACATAATAATACTGACCATTGTTAATTGTTCAATTATCATGTCAACACACATCATTGCTCAATTTTTCATCATTTCCAAACAGTTAATTTGTTTCAGTAATGAAGGTCAAGAGCATCATGAGAGTCCTTCATGTGAAGTATAATACCTTGTAACATCCTTACTGTGGTGTGTGTCCTCAGACGATGGTGGTGGTGAGCAAGGGGAAGGACATCTTCAGGTTCAGCGCCACCGACGCCATGTGGCTCCTCACCCCCTTCAGCGCGGTCCGCCGGACGGCCATATTCATCCTCATTCATCCCCTCTTTAATTTCTTCATCATCTGTACCATCCTGGCCAACTGTGTTCTCATGATCGTCCCCACCAGTGAGACTATAGAGGCTTCAGAGTAAGTTCCCCCCACCAGTGAGACTATAGAGGCTTCAGAGTAAGTTCCCCCCACCAGTGAGACTATAGAGGCTTCAGAGTAAGTTCCCCCCACCAGTGAGACTATAGAGGCTTCAGAGTAAGTTCCCCCCCACCAGTGAGACTATAGAGGCTTCAGAGTAAGTTCCCCCACCAGTGAGACTATAGAGGCTTCAGAGTAAGTTCCCCCCACCAGTGAGACTATAGAGGCTTCAGAGTAAGTTCCCCCCACCAGTGAGACTATAGAGGCTTCAGAGTAAGTTCCCCCCACCAGTGAGACTATAGAGGCTTCAGAGTAAGTTCCCCCCCACCAGTGAGACTATAGAGGCTTCAGAGTAAGTTCCTCTCCACCTGTAAGACTATAGAGGCTTCAGAGTAAGTTCCCCAACCCACCAGTGAGACTATAGAGGCTACAGAGTAAGTTCTTCTCCACCAGTGAGACTATAGAGGCTTCAGAGTAAGTTCCCCCCCCCCCCCCCACCAGTGAGACTATAGAGGCTTCAGAGTAAGTTCCCCCCCCCCCCCACCAGTGAGACTATAGAGGCTTCAGAGTAAGTTCCCCTCCCCACCAGTGAGACTATAGAGGCTACAGAGTAAGTTCCCCTCCCCACCAGTGAGACTATAGAGGCTACAGAGTAAGTTCCCCTCCCCACCAGTGAGACTATAGAGGCTACAGAGCACATCACCATAGACCTGATGTGCACTTTGTTCTTACCAAATACGCTTATGTAATTCTTCTTACCTTCGACAAGCCCCCGGCTTCCTGTCCTCGTCGAGGCCATTAGTGTGAGTTCCTCTCAGGTAAACTGAGTAAACTTATAGCTGTAAACTTAGCGTTGAGAGTGAGTTAAGTGCGTAAGGGAATGAGTGTACCAGGGGTTGAGAGGGGTGAGTATTTGTGTACAAGGGGTTGAGAGGGGGTGAGTATGCGTGTACCAGGGGTTGAGAGGGGTGAGTATGCGTGTACCAGGGGTTGAGAGGGGTGAGTATGCGTGTACCAGGGGTTGAGAGGGGTGAGTATGCGTGTACCAGGGGTTGAGAGGGGTGAGTATGCGTGTACCAGGGGTTGAGAGGGGTGAGTATGCGTGTACAAGGGGTTGAGAGGGGGTGAGTATGCGTGTACCAGGGGTTGAGAGGGGTGAGTATTTGTGTACCAGGGGTTGAGAGGGGTGAGTATGCGTGTACCAGGGGTTGAGAGGGGTGAGTATGCGTGTACCAGGGGTTGAGAGGGGGTGAGTATGCGTGTACCAGGGGTTGAGAGGGGGTGAGTATGCGTGTACCAGGGGTTGAGAGGGGGTGAGTATGCGTGTACCAGGGGTTGAGAGGGGGTGAGTATGCGTGTACCAGGGGTTGAGAGGGGGTGAGTATGCGTGTACAAGAGGTTGAGAGTGTACAAGGGGTTGAGAGCGATGAGTATGCGTGTACCAGCGGTTGAGAGTGATGAATATGCGTGACTAACGAAGCTACTCGCCTTCCAGAGTGGTGTTCACCGCCATCTACACCTTCGAGTCCGGGGTGAAGGTGATGGCGCGAGGGTTCATCCTAGAGAGCTTCACATATCTTCGAGACGCCTGGAACTGGCTCGACTTCACAGTCATTTCCTTAGCGTAGGTTGACCATTCCACTCTTGCATGCTTCTTAGTCTTCCATTGTATTCATTTATTAAGTCTACTGTGCGTGATATATTCTACTATTGCAAGCGAAGAGTAATAATCGTTGATCTGTCGAATGGAGGATAATTATGAACACTGAGATAAGAAACCATTGGTGGAGCTCCTTCGACCTCCTGAGGTTATTATTGGACCAATTATTCGAATAATAATAATAATAATTCGAATAATAAGAATATAATAATTATTATTATTTTTATGTTCCAATTATTCGACCTCAGAAAGTCGAATAATTGCTGTCATCCAGCAATTATTTCTACTGTTGGAATACACTCATAACTTTCATTCACTGTTCATAACTTTCATTCACTGTTCATAACTTTCATTCACTGTTCATAACTTTCATTCACTGTTCATAACTTTCATTCACTGTTCATAACTTTCATTCACTGTTCATAACTTTCATTCACTGTTCATAACTTTCATTCACTGTTCATAACTTTCATTCACTGTTCATAACTTTCATTCACTGTTCATAACTTTCATTCACTGTTCATAACTTTCATTCACTGTTCATAACTTTCATTCACTGTTCATAACTTTCATTCACTGTTCATAACTTTCATTCACTGTTCATAACTTTCATTCACTGTTCATAACTTTCATTCACTGTTCATAACTTTCATTCACTGTTCATAACTTTCATTCACTGTTCATAACTTTCATTCACTGTTCATAACTTTCATTCACTGTTCATAACTTTCATTCACTGTTCATAACTTTCATTCACTGTTCATAACTTTCATTCACTGTTCATAACTTTCATTCACTGTTCATAACTTTCATTCACTGTTCATAACTTTCATTCACTGTTCATAACTTTCATTCACTGTTCATAACTTTCATTCACTGTTCATAACTTTCATTCACTGTTCATAACTTTCATTCACTGTTCATAACTTTCATTCACTGTTCATAACTTTCATTCACTGTTCATAACTTTCATTCACTGTTCATAACTTTCATTCACTGTTCATAACTTTCATTCACTGTTCATAACTTTCATTCACTGTTCATAACTTTCATTCACTGTTCATAACTTTCATTCACTGTTCATAACTTTCATTCACTTCATAACTTTCATTCACTGTTTATAACTTTCATTCACTGTTCATAATTTTAATTCACTGTTCATAACTTTCATTCACTGTTCATAACTTTCATTCACTGTTCATAACTTTCATTCACTGTTCATAACTTTCATTCACTGTTCATATCTTTCATTCACTGTTTATAACTTATATTCAACGGTGAACTAACGTTACTCTCGGATTTTGCGCCAACTGGGCCTCGACTTACATCGACCTCTTCTGACCTTTGGTGACCTACGTCGAGCACAGCTGACCTACGTCGACCACAGCTGACCTACGTCGACCACAGCTGACCAACGTCGACCACAGCTGACCAACATCGACCACAGCTGACCAACGTCGACCACAGCTGACCTACGTCGACCACAGCTGAACAACGTCGACCACAGCTGACCAACATCGACCACAGCTGACCAACGTCGACCACAGCTGACCTACGTCGACCACAGCTGAACAACGTCGACCACAGCTGACCAACGTCGACCACAGCTGAACAACGTCGACCACAGCTGACCAACGTCGACCACAGCTGAACAACGTCGACCACAGCTGACCAACGTCGACCACAGCTGACCAACATCGACCACAGCTGACCAACGTCGACCACAGCTGACCAACGTCGACCACAGCTGACCAACGTCGACCACAGCTGACCTACATCGACCACAGCTGACCAACGTCGACCACAGCTGACCTACGTCGACCACAGCTGACCAACGTCGACCACAGCTGACCAACGTCGACCACAGCTGACCAACGTCGACCACAGCTGACCAACGTCGACCACAGCTGACCAACGTCGACCACAGCTGACCTACGTCGACCACAGCTGACCAACGTCGACCACAGCTGACCAACGTCGACCACAGCTGACCAACGTCGACCACAGCTGAACAACGTCGACCACAGCTGACCAACGTCGATTTCGACTGACATATTCTAACTCTAGATACCTATGTCACCACTACTGACCTCCACTGGCCTCTACTAGCCTCTACTGTCTTCCACTGGCCTCTACTGACCTCTACTGGCCTCTACTGGCTTCCACGGACTTCTACTGGCTTCTCCTGACCTTTACTGGCCTCTACTAGCCTCCAATGGCCTCTACTGGCCTCCACTGACCTCTACTGGCCTCCACTGATCTCTACTGGCCTCCACTGATCTCTACTGGCCTCCACTGATTTCTACTGGCCTCCATTTGACTACTGGCCTCCACAGACCTCTACTGACCTCCACTGACCTCTACTGGCCTCCACTGATTTCTACTGGCCTCCACTGATCTCTACTGGCCTCCACTGATCTCTACTGGCCTCAACTGGCCTCTACTGGCCTCCACTGACCTCTACTGGCCTCCACTGACCTCTACTGGCCTCCACTGACCTCTACTGGCCTCCACTGACCTCTACTGGCCTCCACTGACCTCTACTGGCCTCCACTGACCTCTACTGGCCTCCACTGACCTCTACTGGCCTCCACTGACCTCTACTGGCCTCCACTGACCTCTACAGGCCTCCACTGACCTCTACTGCCCTCCACTGACCTCTACTGGCCTCCACTGACCTCTACTGGCCTCCACTGACCTCTACTGGCCTCCACTGACCTCTACTGGCCTCCACTGACCTCTACTGGAGTCCACTGACCTCTACTGGCCTCCACTGACCTCTACAGGCCTCCACTGGCCTCTACTGCCCTCCACTGACCTCTACTGCCCTCCACCGACCTCTACTGCCCTCCACTGACCTCTACTGGCCTCCACTGATCTCTACTGCCCTCCACTGACCTCAACTGCCCTCCACTGACCTCTACTGGCCTCCACTGGCCTCTACTGCCCTCCACTGACCTCTACTGGCCACCACTGGCCTCTACTACCCTCCACTGGCCTCAATTGGCCTCCACTGACCTCTACTGCCCTCCACTGACCTCTACTGGCCTCCACTGGCCTCCATTGGCCTCTACTGCCCTCCACAGGCCTCTACTGCCGTCCACTGGCCTCCACTGGCCTCTACTGGCCTCCACTGACCTCTACAGGCCTCCACTAACCTCTACTGTCCTCCACTGGCCTCTACTGCCCTCCACTGACCTCTACTGCCCTCCACTGACCTCTACTGGCCTCCACTGGCCTCCATTGGCTTCTTCTGCCCTCCACTAGCCTCTACCGCCCTCCACTGGCCTCTACTGGCCTCCACTGGCCTCTACTGGCCTCCACTGACCTCTACTGGCCTCCACTGCCCTTCACTGGCCTCTACTGGCCTCCACTGACCTCTACTGGCCTCCACTGACCTTCACTGCCCTTCACTGGCCTCCACTGACCTCTACTGACCTCTACTGACCTCCACTGACCTCCACTGCCCTCCACTGGCCTCTACTGGCCTCCACTGGCCTCTACTGGCCTCCGCTGGCCTCCACTGACCTCCATTAACCTGATCTGACATTCTGCGTTTCCTACTGACCTGCGAGGACCTCTTCTGAATACCGTCGACCTGACCAACATTGACCTCACTTTGATCTACAGTGACCTCCATGTACGAGCATAGGTCACTATTGACCCACCTGATCAATACTGACCTGTGCTTGCTTGTGTAATGACCTGCATTAGATTTTTGTGACCCGGTCTGGTTAGTGATGACTTACATCAACACGTGTTAAACTGACTGTTGCTGACCTTAGCTGACCTTTGTTATTCGTGGGGATTTGTGACAGCTTCGGTTCACCTTTGTTAGCTTTGGCTGATCTCTGTCAGCTTGGAGCTGACCAGTGTCAGCTAAAACTGTTTTGTGTCAGCTTAAACTGTGTTGTGTCAGCTTAAACTGTGTTGTGTCAGCTTGGGGTGACCTGTGTCAGCTTGGAGCTGACCAGTGTCAGCTAAAACTGTTTTGTGTCAGCTTAAACTGTGTTGTGTCAGCTTAAACTGTGTTGTGTCAGCTTAAACTGTGTTGTGTCAGCTTAAACTGTGTTGTGTCAGCTTGGGGTGACCTGTGTCAGCTTGGGGTGACCTGTGTTGACCTTCCACAGGTACGTGACAATGGGGATTGACCTGGGGAACCTGGCTGCCTTGAGAACATTCCGAGTGTTGCGAGCTTTGAAGACTGTGGCTATTGTTCCAGGTACGTAGTCTCAGCCCCGCCCACACCTGCAGGCCACACCCCCTGCCCACACTTACACCCCACACCCCCTGCCCACACCTACACCCCACAGCCCCTGCCCTCACCGCCTGACCATGGTGCTTGTCTGAAGCCTTTTCCCTAATCTACAGCCTGTACATAAAGGCTTTAACTATTTATTTCATTCACAACTCCTGTTGACAATCCAGTTTATATTTCCAGTATCTAAATCAGTTCACAGCCCATGTTAATGTTCCAGTTTTTATCTCCAGTACCTAAATCAGTTCACAGCCCATGTTAATGTTCCAGTTTATATCTCCAGTACCTAAATCAGTTCACAGCCCATGTTAATGTTCCAGTTTATATCTCCAGTACCTAAATCAGTTCACAGCCCATGTTAATGTTCCAGTTTTTGTCTCCAGTACCTAAATCAGTTCACAGCCCATGTTAATGTTCCAGTTTTTGTCTCCAGTACCTATACCAGTTCACAGCCCATGTTAATGTTCCAGTTTATATCTCCAGTACCTAAACCAGTTCACAGTCCCTGCAGGCTAAACCAGTAATTAATAGATGTAGTTTATATAATGGAATGAATATTGGCTATATTATTTCTGGTTTATGTTATGTTAATTTAAGTAACATGTTTATGAAGTGTGTGTGTGTGTGTGTGTGTGTACTCACCTAGTTGTGTTTGCGGGGGTTGAGCTCTGGCTCTTCGGTCCCACCTCTCAACCGTCAATCAACTGATATACAGATTCCTGAGCTTCTGGGCTCTTATCATATCTACATTTGAAACTGTGTATGGAGTCAGCCTCCACCACATCACTGCCTAATGCATTCCATTTGTTAACTACTCTGACACTGAAAAAGTTCTTTCTAATGATTCTGTGGCTCATTTGGGTACACAGTTTCCACCTGTGTCCCCTTGTTCGCGTTCCACCAGTGTTAAACAGTTTATCTTTATCTACCCTGTCAATTCCTCTGAGTATTTTGTAGGTAGTGATCATGTCTTCCCTTACTCTTCTGTCTTCCAGTGTCGTGAGATGCTTTTCACTCAGCCTTTCCTCGTAACTCATGCCTCTTAGTTCTGGGATTAGCCTAGTGGCATATCTCTGAACTTTCTGAACTTTTTCCAGCTTCGTTTTGTGCTTGACAAGGTACGGGCTCCATGTTGGGGCCGCATACTCCAGGATTAGTCTTATATATGTAGTATCCTTCAGGAACCTTGCACAGGTTCCTGAAGGCTGTTCTGATGTTAGCCAGCCTCGCATATGCCGCAGATGTTATTCTTTTTATGTGAGCTTCAGGAGATAAGTTTGATGTGATATCAACTCCTAGATCTTTCTCTCTCTCCGTTTCATGAAGGACTTCATCTCTCATTCGGTATCCTGTGTCTGGCCTCCTGTTTCCTTCGCCTAGCTTCATTACCTTACATTTTTTTCGGGTTAAACTTTAGTAGCCATTTGTTGGACCATTCATTCAGTTTTTCTAGGTCATCTTGTAGCCTCATACTATCTTCATCCGTCTTAATCTTCCTCATAATTTTTGCATCATCAGCAAACAATGAGAGGAACGATTCTATACCCTCTAGGCGATCATTTACATATAACAGAAACAGTATAGGTCCAAGGACTGAACCCTGCGGGACTCCACTGGTGACGCCTCGCCAATCTGAGACCTCACCCTCACAGTGTCTCGCTGTCTTCTGTAACTTAGGTACTCCCTTATCCAATAAAGAACTTTCCCTTTCACTCCTGCCTGCATCTCCAACTTTCACACTAGTCTCTTGTGTGGTACTGTGTAAAAGGCTTTCTGACAATCCAAAAATATGCAGTCTGCCCACCCCTCTCTTTCTTGCCTGATTTTTGTTGCCTGATCGTAGAATTCAATTAATCGTGTGAGGCAGGACTTGCCATTCCTGAACCCATGTTGATGTTGTGTCACAAAGTTCTTTTTCTCCAGATGTTCCACTAGCTTTTTTTACACAATCTTCTCCATCAACTTGCATGGTATGCAAGTTAGGGACACTGGCCTGTAGTTCATTGCCTCCTGTCTATCACCTTTTTTGTAGATCGGGACTACATTAGCCGTCTTCCAAATGTTTGGCAGTTCACCTGTTACCAGTGATTTGTTATACACTATGGAGAGTGGCAGGCACAATGCTTCTGCTCCTTCCTTTAGTATCCATGGTGATATTCCATCCGGGCCTATTGCCTTTGTCACATCCTCTGTGAGTGTATGAGTGTGGTGTGCTGTACTGTGTGGGTGTCCGGTGTACTGTGAGTGTATGAGTGTGGTGTGCTGTACCGTGTGGGTGTCCGGTGTACTGTGAGTGTATGTGTGTAGTGTGCTGTACTGTGTGGGTGTCCGGTGTACTGTGAGTGTATGTGTGTAGTGTGCTGTACCGTGTGGGTGTCCGGTGTACTGTGAGTGTATGTGTGTAGTGTGCTGTACCGTGTGGGTGTCCGGTGTACTGTGAGTGTATGTGTGTAGTGTGCTGTACTGTGTGGGTGTCCGGTGTACTGTGAGTGTATGTGTGTAGTGTGCTGTACCGTGTGGGTGTCCGGTGTACTGTGAGTGTATGAGTATGGTGTGCTGTACCGTGTGGGTGTCCGGTGTACTGTGAGTGTATGAGTGTAGTGTGCTGTACCGTGTGGGTGTCCGGTGTACTGTGAGTGTATGAGTGTAGTGTGCTGTACCGTGTGGGTGTCCGGTGTACTGTGAGTGTATGAGTGTGGTGTGCTGTACCGTGTGGGTGTCCGGTGTACTGTGAGTGTATGATCGAGTGTGGTGTGCTGTACCGTGTGGGTGTCCGGTGTACTGTGAGTGTATGAGTGTAGTGTGCTGTACTGTGTGGGTGTCCGGTGTACTGTGAGTGTATGAGTGTGGTGTGCTGTACCGTGTGGGTGTCCGGTGTACTGTGAGTGTATGAGTATGGTGTGCTGTACCGTGTGGGTGTCCGGTGTACTGTGAGTGTATGAGTGTGGTGTGCTGTACCGTGTGGGTGTCCGGTGTACTGTGAGTGTATGAGTGTGGTGTGCTGTACCGTGTGGGTGTCCGGTGTACTGTGAGTGTATGAGTATGGTGTGCTGTACCGTGTGGGTGTCCGGTGTACTGTGAGTGTATGAGTGTGGTGTGCTGTACCGTGTGGGTGTCCGGTGTACTGTGAGTGTATGAGTGTAGTGTGCTGTACCGTGTGGGTGTCCGGTGTACTGTGAGTGTATGAGTGTAGTGTGCTGTACCGTGTGGGTGTCCGGTGTACTGTGAGTGTATGAGTGTGGTGTGCTGTACCGTGTGGGTGTCCGGTGTACTGTGAGTGTATGAGTATGGTGTGCTGTACCGTGTGGGTGTCCGGTGTACTGTGAGTGTATGAGTGTAGTGTGCTGTACCGTGTGGGTGTCCGGTGTACTGTGAGTGTATGAGTGTAGTGTGCTGTACCGTGTGGGTGTCCGGTGTACTGTGAGTGTATGAGTGTGGTGTGCTGTACCGTGTGGGTGTCCGGTGTACTGTGAGTGTATGAGTGTGGTGTGCTGTACCGTGTGGGTGTCCGGTGTACTGTGAGTGTATGAGTGTAGTGTGCTGTACTGTGTGGGTGTCCGGTGTACTGTGAGTGTATGAGTATAGTGTGCTGTACCGTGTGGGTGTCCGGTGTACTGTGAGTGTATGAGTGTAGTGTGCTGTACCGTGTGGGTGTCCGGTGTACTGTGAGTGTATGAGTGTGGTGTGCTGTACCGTGTGGGTGTCCGGTGTACTGTGAGTGTATGAGTGTGGTGTGCTGTACCGTGTGGGTGTCCGGTGTACTGTGAGTGTATGAGTGTAGTGTGCTGTACTGTGTGGGTGTCCGGTGTACTGTGAGTGTATGTGTGTAGTGTGCTGTACCGTGTGGGTGTCCGGTGTACTGTGAGTGTATGAGTGTAGTGTGCTGTACTGTGTGGGTGTCCGGTGTACTGTGAGTGTATGAGTGTGGTGTGCTGTACCGTGTGGGTGTCCGGTGTACTGTGAGTGTATGAGTGTGGTGTGCTGTACTGTGTGGGTGTCCGGTGTACTGTGAGTGTATGAGTGTAGTGTGCTGTACTGTGTGGGTGTCCGGTGTACTGTGAGTGTATGAGTGTGGTGTGCTGTACCGTGTGGGTGTCCGGTGTACTGTGAGTGTATGAGTGTGGTGTGCTGTACCGTGTGGGTGTCCGGTGTACTGTGAGTGTATGAGTGTGGTGTGCTGTACCGTGTGGGTGTCCGGTGTACTGTGAGTGTATGAGTGTGGTGTGCTGTACCGTGTGGGTGTCCGGTGTACTGTGAGTGTATGAGTGTGGTGTGCTGTACTGTGTGGGTGTCCGGTGTACTGTGAGTGTATGAGTGTGGTGTGCTGTACCGTGTGGGTGTCCGGTGTACTGTGAGTGTATGAGTGTGGTGTGCTGTACCGTGTGGGTGTTGTGTATGGTGCAGAAATGGATTTGAGAGCAGGTAAACTGCTTTTACTGGACGGTAGGGCGTCGGCCTCGCTTCTTGTAGGTCGACATTCGATTCCCGACCGTCCAAGTGGTTGGCCCACCATTTCTTCCCTCCGTCGTATCCTAAATCCTTATCCCAACCCTTGGCAAGTGCTGTATTGTCGTATTGGCTTAGCACTTTCTCCGATAATTGCCTGAGAGAGTGAGAGGGTCTTGATGTGAACTAACACTGACGCCATCCCACCTCTCCCTCCCTCTCTCTCTCCCTCTCTCTCTCTCCCCCCGTAGGTCTCAAGACGATCGTGGGTGCTGTGATAGAGTCGGTCAAGAACCTACGAGACGTGATCATCCTGACCGTGTTTTCTCTCTCCGTTTTTGCCTTACTTGGACTCCAGATTTATATGGGAGTATTGACCCAAAAGTGTGTCAGAAAGTTTGATTTTACTAAAGAGAATTGGACAGACGAAGATTACTTCATATTTAACAGTAATAAATGTAAGTAAAGTGGTGAGGTTGGTGTTGTGACTCCCTGTGGTTGTGGGGAGCGGAGTGGGGCCGCGCCCCCCTCCGCAGCCACACTCACGCTTCACCGCCACACCTTGAGTTACAACTTTCCTGGAGTGTGTGGTGAGCGGTGAGGCCCGGCCCCAGTCCGCTCCTCCTCCTCCTCCTCCCGCTGGCTGGAGGAGGAGGTCCAAAAGGCACGATGCGTACACAACATTGTCGACGGTGAACGGTGACGTAGGAAAAGAGAGATAAGAGAATACGGTGTTTACAGTAATTCCAGCAAGAGCTTCAAGTCAGGTGATATATTGGTTAATGTTTCCGCGAGGAAGAGTTGGAGGAGGAGGAGGCCGCCCTTGGGTAAGTACCAACTTGTTCACGTTCACAGTCTGGCCCCACACACGTTCCGAGGCCCTTCTCAGCTGGAACGTCTTGTATTCATGCACAAGAGGTATTTCTGGCTACTCTACACCTATCTGTTGATAATGTATTCCTGTATCTGATACTGCTTACTGGCTCACAACTATAGGGACTAGTTCAGAACTAGTCCCAACTGTCCAACTGTGTATGTCTCACACACACTCTCTCACACACACACACACACAAACACACACACACACACACACACACACACACACACACACACACACACACACACACGTAATACCAACAATAGCCACATCCACATTACTTGGCCAAGTTTTGCTCGGCAGCCAAAACGATATTGTAAATTTTCAAAATTTTGATTCTAAATTAATTTGCCATTCATAATGTTATATATTTGTATGTTGACTACATGTATTACTAACTTAGGTAGGCCTAGTTTTGCATGAACTATGTAGTAATGAGAACTAATCATATTATGGATAGGTTTCTAAATTAGCTTTGGTTAAAATTAAATAGAAAATATCTGGTTGTATTTATTAAGGTAAATATATATATGTTCATCATTAAATTAGAATCGTAAGTTAAAGTGTTTTAACGATATTCAACTTCTTACGCAACTCTGGTTATTAGGAGACGACTGTACGTGTGTGATTCCTGGTACTGTGAAGTTCACTCCAGCTACTGTGAACCTGATTCTTGCTACTGTGAACCTGACATGCTACTGTGACCCTGACTTTTGCTACTGTGAACCTGACTCTTGCTACTGTGAAGCTCACTCCAACTACTGTGAACCTGACTTGCTACTATGAACCTGACTCTTGCTACTATGAACCTGACTTGCTACTATGAACCTGACTCTTGCTACTATGAACCTGACTTGCTACTATGAACCTGACTCTTGCTACTATGAACCTGACTTGCTACTATGAACCTGACTCTTGCTACTATGAACCTGACTTGCTACTATGAACCTGACTCTTGCTACTATGAACCTGACTTGCTACTATGAACCTGACTCTTGCTACTATGAACCTGACTTGCTACTATGAACCTGACTCTTGCTACTATGAACCTGACTGGTGTGTGACCCCATGTGACCAAATGACTCACAACATAAACATAAAATGTGGCGAAATTAAAAACGAAAACATCAGCCAAAAACATAGGCCTACACGTGTAAAAGATCTCTGAACATGCCTGTATGAGTAGCTCCTTACCTTACCTTACCTGTAGTTCATCAGAGCCTCTTCCTTCTCTGGTTCATCAGTGCCTGATCCTACTAGTTACTTAACCTAGTTAATTATTAACCTAACCTAGTTAATTATGCCTGCATTGCTGGTATTGTTGACCTTATAGTGTAAGCTTTCGATGCTTCTAACAATTTTCCTATTGTCAGTATTAATAAGAACAATCAAGTTACCAAAATTCTCTTCACCAAGAAACTCTAATAATTATTGAAGGATTCATTCGCTACATCGCTTCGTTACTCCCCGGGGCTTGTGTTCATGAATGACCACACGAGGAGCAACTCTGGATTAAAGACACAGCTTCGAAAGAGTACGGGGTAAGAGTCGAACATTGGGTAAGGTATTAGGGCCAGTCGAACATTGGGTAAGGTATTATAGCCAGTCGAACATTGGGTAGTATTAGGGCCAGTCGAACATTGGGTAGTATTAGGGCCAGTCGAACATTGGGTAAGGTATTAGGGCCAGTCGAACATTGGGTAAGGTATTATAGCCAGTCGAACATTGGGTAGTATTAGGGCCAGTCGAACATTGGGTAGTATTAGGGCCAGTCGAACATTGGGTAAGGTATTAGGGCCAGTCGATGAATAGTGAGGTCTGGGTCTTAGTGTTGGCAAGGAAGCCAAGTCATTATTTTGTATATTGCTATACAATTTGACATTATATTCATGATTATTCTTCTGTTTTATTTTGTGAATTTATCGTGGGTTTATGATAGTTGTATGGGAGGGGTTGTTTGCTGTTGGGGTGGTTGTTCTCTGTTGGGGTGGTTGTTCACTGTTGGGGTGGTTGTTCACTGTTGGGGTGGTTGTTCTCTGTTGGGGTGGTTGTTCTCTGTTGGGGTGGTTGTTCACTGTTGG